TTCATTCAGGAACAAAGCATTTGACTGTGTTAATGAGTGAATCACTGAATCAACCGATTCGTCCGATTCGTTTAAAAAGCTGATTCATTCAATAAGTAAACACCATTGCTCAGAGACGCAAAAGATCTTTGTGTGTTATCATGCTGATATCTGCAGAAAAACGGTACTCTTTGTGTGATATAGATTAAGTTAACTATATTAAATTATATAAATATAAAAACTCTTTTTGTCATTTGGTGATATACTCGATCTCATTACAACAACACTTACCGTATTATCGCAGACGATGCTGTATCACACACCCCAGACTCGACTTGAGTGGAAAATGAATCATCCGCGGTTGTGCGCGCATTTGTTTGCACATGAGCAAAGGTGTTTTTAGGAGTCTAACTTGCAAACGCCAGACCACTGATTCGCCAAACCTGCTTTCCTGCAGTCCGTGTTCTTCTGACTTCTGAGTATTTTGTAGTAAGTAACGAATATGCTTCCAGGAAATGTATCGGAGTAAAAGTATACATTTGAATTAGGAAATGTAGTGAAGTAAAAGTAAATGTTGGCTGAAATATAACAACTCAAGTAAAGTACAGATACTCCCAAAAAAATAATGAAGTACTGTAACGAAGTATTATTACTTCATTACATTACACCAGTTTTTGTAATGTTAAAAGTAATATGTAAATCATGAATTATTTCTAAAATGAAGTTAATTTAACCATCAGACAATGTTTATTACAGACCATTCCTAGTCATGACTGGATTATTTTTTAATGAAATGTAGTAAATCACTAAACTTGTACATTCATTTTTTTTTTTTTTTTTTTTTTTTTTTTTATTATTTTGGTATTTAGACCTAACTGTAATTTACACCATTAGTTTTCATAAAAACATGTTATACTTTTTCTGCTGTAAAAACATACACTTCATTAAACTGAAAAATTTGGAAAATATGTATTTGAAACACCTGCATGATGACATGAAGTAATTATAACCAGTAGGTAGAGGTAGTGATCCACATATGATGGACTCTGATCTCTGGAAACACAAAGTTCTAACAAACTTTCACACCACTGTATATATATATATATATATATATATATATATTAGATACACTTATTTAGAAACACTAATATTTGTCAACGTTATCATTTTTAATAACGCTTCTTTTAAGGTGTTTTTTTTTCCAGTAATGCCACATTATGTTTACACGTAGTGTTAAAATGAAAAGACACAGAGTATGCATTATTTTGTAGCCTCTCATTTATTTAAAACATCAAATGTCAACATACAGTAACTCTAACAAAGTAAACTAATGATAATGTCAAGAGAAAAGGCAATAAACATGATACATTTTGCAATGGCAAACAAGTTAGTAAAGAGAAGAGCAAAAGAATAACTACTATAAAAACTGAGCAACAAACAGCGCATAAGCCATGACTAAGTCTTGTTTAAACCTTCTTGCATGCATAGCAATAAGAAGTTATAATTGCGTGTGACCTGCAAATGTACATGTTACACTGACTGCACATCATACTGGTTTTTGTGTTCTTCTTTGATTCACAGACCTGACACCTTTTCCTCTTGCTGGGGGTTGATACTGGGGAGGAGCTGGGTTTTTTGGCTGTAAAGCATGCTCGTGCTTTCATCACCTTATATTTGGAGGCTAGCAGAAGGACGTCTTCTTTTTCTGAAGAGCATGCTTGTGCTTGTATCACCATATTCTGAGAGGCTGGCGAGCGGGGAACGTAATTCCGTCTTTTCATGTAGGGAGCCACCAGAGTTTCCCCTAGCTCTTCCAGGTAGAGCCTCCTTTTGAAGTTTTTCCCTTTGTTCCATGAGGGATTTATCTCTGTCCACAGTACGAATGAATTGTAGGCGGAGACATCCAACATGTTGAAGAAAATCACCATGGGCCAACGAGCTGTCTTTCTTTGGCATGTGTAAGTGGCAACAACCTGGATGTGAAATGACAAGCAAAACGTTTACATGTGCACTTGGCAGATGCTTTTATCCAAAGCAACATTGCATTCAAAGTATACTTTTACATTTTATCAGTTACTGCTTTCCCTGGCAATCGAACCCATGATCTTAGCATTGCTTTAGCTCACCAGCTGACAATTCAATTAACTTTATTTGGGCCATTTGTTCCTAAAGTCGCAAAGAAACAGAAGTAGCGACAGATCTTTTCTTACATATTGTGATGTCCGATTGTAATAGATTGTCAATAAAGAAAAAAAGATATATAATTAGCATTTAAAAATATATATGCTTCATTTTCATTTCATGCAGAAATAATTAGCATTTAAAAATAGATATGGTTCATTTTCATTTCATGCAGAAAATGTCTAAATAATGCAAAGTAGTAAAATACCTTGTCAAGGTTGTCAACTCCGTAAACTAATGATAATGTCAAGAGAAAAGGCAATAAACATGATACATTTTGCAATGGCAAACAAGTTAGTAAAGAGAAGAGCAAAAGAATAACTACTATAAAAACTGAGCAACAAACAGCGCATAAGCCATGACTAAGTCTTGTTTAAACCTTCTTGCATGCATAGCAATAAGAAGTTATAATTGCGTGTGACCTGCAAATGTACATGTTACACTGACTGCACATCATACTGGTTTTTGTGTTCTTCTTTGATTCACAGACCTGACACCTTTTCCTCTTGCTGGGGGTTGATACTGGGGAGGAGCTGGGTTTTTTGGCTGTAAAGCATGCTCGTGCTTTCATCACCTTATATTTGGAGGCTAGCAGAAGGACGTCTTCTTTTTCTGAAGAGCATGCTTGTGCTTGTATCACCATATTCTGAGAGGCTGGCGAGCGGGGAACGTAATTCCGTCTTTTCATGTAGGGAGCCACCAGAGTTTCCCCTAGCTCTTCCAGGTAGAGCCTCCTTTTGAAGTTTTTCCCTTTGTTCCATGAGGGATTTATCTCTGTCCACAGTACGAATGAATTGTAGGCGGAGACATCCAACATGTTGAAGAAAATCACCATGGGCCAACGAGCTGTCTTTCTTTGGCATGTGTAAGTGGCAACAACCTGGATGTGAAATGACAAGCAAAACGTTTACATGTGCACTTGGCAGATGCTTTTATCCAAAGCAACATTGCATTCAAAGTATACTTTTACATTTTATCAGTTACTGCTTTCCCTGGCAATCGAACCCATGATCTTAGCATTGCTTTAGCTCACCAGCTGACAATTCAATTAACTTTATTTGGGCCATTTGTTCCTAAAGTCGCAAAGAAACAGAAGTAGCGACAGATCTTTTCTTACATATTGTGATGTCCGATTGTAATAGATTGTCAATAAAGAAAAAAAGATATATAATTAGCATTTAAAAATATATATGCTTCATTTTCATTTCATGCAGAAATAATTAGCATTTAAAAATAGATATGGTTCATTTTCATTTCATGCAGAAAATGTCTAAATAATGCAAAGTAGTAAAATACCTTGTCAAGGTTGTCAACTCCGCCTTTGGTCTGGTTGTAGTCTAGGATTATCCCTGGCTTCTTGTGATCTTTGTCGCTTACTTTGGCATCTCTGTGGAAAGTGCTCATCAACAGCACATTTTTATTTTTTCTGGGACAGTAGGACACAAGAGTGTGCGTATCAGTGAAGGCGAACATGGATGATAATCGGGCCCTGTCCTTCATTGACAGGAGTGCAGGTGGGAGCTCAGGTTTGTTTGATCTGACTGTTCCGATCATGGTCATTTTCCTTCGGAGCAGCTCCTCGCCGAGGCCATACGAGGTGAAAAAGTTGTCACACGTGACGGTGTGTCCCTCTAAGCTGTCTGTCATGTCCAGGACCACTCGCATTCCCTGGGTCTTTTCTGACTTGCCGTCGGCAGCTTTCCCAGTGTAGATCTGCATGTTCCACGCATAGCTCGAGCTGGAATCGCATGCTGCCCAGATTTTAATGCCATACTTGCCCGGTTTACTTGGCATGTATTGTTTGAAGGGACGGTGTCCTCTGAAACGGACCAGGCACTCGTCCACAGTGACGTTTGGGCCTGGATTGTACAAGAGTGGCAGGCGTTCGACCCATTTAACCCAGATGTTCCTTACTGGTGCCAGCTTGTCCCTTTTCTGTCGGCTAGGCTCTTTATCCCTTTTGTAAAAGCAGAAGACCCTTGACAAATTGGTAAAACTTTTCAGTGACATGGTAGCATGAAAAATTGCCCTCCCTGATACACCGTGCCATAAGCTACTCATGGCCTCATGGTGGGATCGATACACACCTGCCAGAATCAACAGACCAAAAAAGGCCTGTAAGTCTGTCCAGTCCAGGTCCTTCCAGGTATCACGAAATACACGTTTCCCCTCTAAATTGGTCATTTCAATCAAAATCTGTTTAATATCATCTGGGAAAAACAATTCAAATGTTGATCTTATGTCTTCAGCATTGGCACATGCCAGCCTGGTTGGTCCAGGGGTCATTTTGATGATACGATGAGCTGGTAATCTCTCTCGTTGTTTCGGAGGTGGTGCTGGAGTCCACAATATGTTACTGTTTTTGGACTGATAAGCCGCCTCTGTGTCAGCAGTGACCTCTGACTCTTCATCTGACTCTTCCTCTGACTCTTCTTCATCAGTAGAGTGGTAGTCTGGGTTGAACTCTGTATTGTCCTCTGTTTCAGAAGCTTCATTAAAGAGCTCCAGCTCAGCTTCTCCATCCAGATCCCTTTCCTCTTCCATCCATTTATTACTCGTAGTATGTCGTGTCGCATCTTTTTCCTCTTCCATCCCTCCATCACTTGTCATATGTAGGGTCACGTCTCTTTCCTCTTCCATTCCTCAATCACTTGTTGTATGTTGGGTCGTGTCTCTTTCCTTTTCCATCCCTCCATCACTTGTCGTACGTAGGTCTGCATCTCTTTGCTCTTCACTGGACTCATATAAATGAACCAGGGACTCCACAACACTAAACCGCCTCTTCATTGTGCAGCCACAGAATGAACTGCAAGCAAGGTTCAGGGAAATCACATTTATAATTTTATTTGTTACACTTGATAGGATCAAATGTTCTCTAATATGAAAAGCTCATAAGTGAGCTAGATCTTTAAATCTAGTATAATGTGCACAGGTTTGAGTGATAGTTAGGTTGATTAGATATCATTATCTGGCTATGAAAATAATGAATAATGGAAGCCTACAAAATGTCCTCATTAAAGTAGTCAAACAAACTTGTCGTTCTTCATTGCATATAAAGTGGATGGTTTTGAAATATTGTTTTTGAAATATTTTTAGTTTAATAAAGACAAATTCTGCAATGATTAAAATCACATATTCTGAGATATTCTGAGAGAGAGAGAGAGAGAGGGGCTTATCCCTTGTTTACACTGCACATGTCTGCGGGCATTATGGCTCTGATGAGGTTTTGGTCCGTCCTCCACGCAGTGCCAACTCACACCAGGAGCAAAGCAACTGGATTCGTGAGACCACGAGATTTGCCTGTCGGACATTGTTTTCTTGGTTTTTCTTTTTCTTTTTCTTTTTTCCTTTTTGGGGTTCTATCATGATTTAGTTGGCTAAATAGTTGTTTTGTCTGGTTTAATTGTGTTTATTGTTGTGCTGTAGCCTACAGACAAAGTTAATACACTTAAAGGTCCAGTTATAAACGACAAGGATAAAATATTGTAGCTGTGTTTTAGTCTGCACAGCGTATTTTTTGTATTTGAACTGTGCGGCTTTTGACACAGCGTCCGACAAAAATAGACTAGGTGCCTATCTTTAGAGAAGCAGCAAGGAGAGACGCTTCTGGGACGTGCCGCGGCATGGCTGGTATAAATGCAAGCATTGACTAGATTAGCCGCGATCAACTCCGGTGGCCGTGTCAGAGCCGCAACGCACTGCAGACGTGTGCAGTGTAACGGTCCTTGCACACTGATCCGAAACTCTCGTTCAAAATTTTTGCACGTTAAAAAATAAATACGACCTCACTTTGTGTCAATCACGTTTACACAGTGCCTCCGAAACTTTCGTCCGTCATAAAGAAAAATTCGATTGGTTTAAATTTTCTGCGTTTTTCGCATCTGTAATAATAAAAACAATAATAATAATTCCTTACATTTATACAGCGCTTTTCTGGGCACTCAAAGCGCTTTACATAGAAGGGGAGATCTATGTAATCTGTATCAAGCATTTTGAGAGGTTTTTTGACAATTTAGAGTCACCGTACAAGAGAACGCCAAAATCCAGAATGGCATCTGACAAGTGTGTGCCTGCATCCTAATGTTCATACTATGTATGCGAGATTAGAATAACCCTGTGTTCCATTCAGAAGGGCTCATCCCTACGCCCTAATCCCTTCAAAGTGTTTACCCTCTGCAGTGAGAGCTTCGAAGGGATGAAGGGTGTAGGGGTCAATGCACTTCTGCGTCATCTTAACGAGACGATCAAGGAGATGCCTTCCTTGCACATTTTGTATGCTGGTTGACCCCCAGTCGTCTTTACATTAAAATGTATATTTGTATATGTAATGTAATATGTATTTGTAATGTATATTATGTCTATGTATTTGAAACATTTGAATGGACTAATAACGGTAGCTGTACCAACAAAAGTATTTTTGTTGAAGTACAATGTTGTTTTGACCATAATGTACCAAATCTAAGTCTTATAAATATTACAGTAGTACAGAAAAAATACTATACATATATTCATAGGTAAAGTCAAAGTCTGTGACACCAAATTTCCCTGTGCAAAGGATCATGGGGACCCGAAGTGTCCATCAGTTGTACCCTTCGAAATCCTTCATTCCGAAGGGCCCTTTGAAGTGGCCAGTTTTGAGCACTTTGGGTTTGAACGACCCTTCAATACGGCGGCCATGATTGTTTCACTCCGAAGTGCCCTTCGGAGGGCGATATATCCTGTTTGGAACGCACTGTAAGTGTGTCCCAAAGCATAGTATGTTGAAAAGAGTATGCCAAAAGTCCACGGATGGTCTACTATTTCAGGTAGATTTTTGAAGTGTGGATCTGTGCACACTCTAATGGCTAATATTGGCCACAATCCATTGCGCTGGCGGATGTGCGTGGTTGACGGTTAAATAGAGAGGTTTAGATAAAGGGGTTTGAGTTACTAATAATCAAAATTTTACCGGGTAAAAATTATTTATTTAATCTTATCTGTGTTATATTTCATCTACAACAATCTGAATTTTATTTACATCCATTTGGCCATTAACTTTTAAATGTATCATTATGCAAAAAAAAAAAAAAAGAGCAAAGTTCTCTGCATAAAGACCCACGGCTGACAGATCAACGTGCTGCTACTTTTCTCTCCGATATGGTAGGAAGTTAAATTAAATGAAATGTGGAGGATGTTAATTGTGACAAGATGATTGACAGGCCAATACAGAGACAGGGTGCGTGTAACTATCATAGACTGTATAAAAACATGGACGTAGTGTCCGTAACGTCACCCGTAGGTTTCTGAAGAGTGTTTATGAAGCTCAAAGTGGGCGGAGCCGGCCGTCGCCATCTTGGCAGCGCGTCACCGCGCGTCACTCCCAGATAATCGAAAATGGGCAAAGAGGCGGGAGCTGGTTGCTGAAACCCCACCCACCTAAGCTCGACGGTGGTGACAGCAGCGGCAATCCACCTGTCACTCAAGTGGCCACGCCCTTAATTATGCAGAACTTTAAGGCTTAATATAATTTAAACGGATGAGTTATAAAAAAATTCACCCCCCTCACAGTTGTCATGAAGGGCAAAATTAGCTATATAGACCAAAACCACTTTTTGTACCTGGTTGTAAACATATTTTTTTCTGCTGTAAATTTGGGCATTTTAACATGGGGAGTCTATGGGACTGACTACCTTTTGGAGCCAGCCTCTAGCGGCCAGTCGATGAATTGCAGTTTTAGTCACTTCCGTGTTGGTTTCACGAGAGACCGGGAGGTTGGTGCTTGGTAACTATGCGACAGAGCAGTCTGTTAAAGACGCAATTGCCTACTCTTCTACTACACACTCAAAAGTGTGTACTTTTTCTTCACCAAAAGAGTACATACTTTAGGGCGTGGGACGCGGCATGAGTGTGTGTGTGTGTATGTGTCCAAACCTGAGACATACTGCCAGTGTCTGTTCAGGATCAGTTGGTTCACGGAAAATGGTGGTTTTCTTGTTCAAATGTGGCTCCAGTATCGCGAGCAAAGCATCAAACTGAGCCACTGAAATCCTGAAGAAGTAAACTTTGAATCGCTTGGGATAATTCCACAGCTCCTTGATAAGGAGGTGGAACTCTCTTTCCTCTCTACGCAGTCTCAGGATTGGATGGACCAAATATTTCCTCTTTCTTTTTTCTTTTTAATAGGACAACAAAATTATCCTCATTACTTGAAGACTCCATTTTGTATTGTTTTGTGAATTTTTTCACAACGGATTATCAATATCAGACTCAGTGTGCAAGGTTTTTGTGCCTGACAAATTTTTAGGATGACGAATATGAAAAAACACATACGAAAATTTCAGACTAAAGTGGTGTCCGAAACTGCTCCCATTCCCCTATATAGTGCACTATACCGGGTGTCGGCCATTTTGTAGTGCTGTCCGAATTCTGAGTGAACAAGTTCATTCCCTACATTCGTTCACTACTTTTTACCCACAATCTGCTCTGATTTCGAGTGTACAACAGATGTTGTATGTTCTGATATACTGCACTCAACTGCCATACACTTTATAGGGATTAGTGAATGAGTGAACAAGTGAGCGATTTCGGACACAGCTTAAGTGTGCAAGGACCTTAAATGGACCCTTTTCACATTTCTGGGTTTCTCAGCAGCGGAAGTCGTCATAGTTGGGTTATCTTGAATAGAAGTGAATGAGAGTGTACCACAAATATATTTTTTGCATTCCCATTTGCTCAAATAGCAAAGATATAATACAAAGAATATTGTTATAAATGTACATACATTTAAAAAAAAAATACAAATATGAAAAACTTTCGAGGATTTACGATGCTGATAACCGTTAAACGCGTCATCACAGTCTTGTGAAAAGGGTCCATAAGGGGTTAAACGCAGATGAAAGGGCGTGTTTGGATTTGAATTGTTGACCGTTGGAGTTTGAACAGTCCTAGCTCATTTGAACATTCCGTGTCTCAAGTCAACATTCTATTAGAGTTTAAAAACTGACATTTTTAGACAAGAATAAAACGCCACGATTGCTGGTGAGCCAATGAGCCATAACCTGTGTGGTCAACGAGACCTCTAATACAACACTATGTCCAACTTCCTTGAGCGCGTGCAGGCATCCGGTGCGTGAGGTGTGTATGCGCTCTGGCGTAGTTTACGCAAGCGCCGGAAGTGATCTCTCACGCGTATACGTCACTCATTGTTTACACAGTGCACAGTCATTGTAGGTACGACGGCTAATCAAAATGGTACTTGCTTGCGCTTATCCGGATTGTTCAAACCGACTTAAAACTAAAAGATTACGTTCTCTCGCGCGAACTCATTCGGGAGTGGTGACTTTCCACGTATTCCCAACTTCTGAGCCTGCTCGCCTGAAGTTATGGTTGATTGCTCTTCGGCTGGATATCAACACACCCTTTAACGTAAACTACGCCAGAGCGCG